CCCCCCGCCTCGAGTTGTAATATTCGTTTTTCAAACGGCATAAACTGCAGTTAAGGTTTAGTGGAAATCATATCAAGCCCTAACCGCCAAAATAACGTAGGCGACATTTTTTTCAAAATTTTCTTTTTGATGCAGAAATGCATCTAGTTGCTCTAGGAATATTTCTGCGTCAAAAAGAAAATTTTGAAAAAAGTATCGCTTACGTTATTTTGGCGGTTAGGGCTCAATATATTAGCCTTCCTTGATTGAATCTGCTCATGTCTGACCGAAGCCATTGTTAACTTCTGCCATGACTCCTGTACAGAACCTACTAAATCTAACAAGAGGAAGTCGCAAATAGAACCAACTGGAAAAACGAATGACCACAAACCCGAACGGAAAGGTCCATTTACTATACTGATGGCTTCAAGACAAGCCATGGCATCGGAAGAGCGGTATTGGATGCACAATTCGAATGTCTCCTTTTGACTAGACTAGGGCAGAATAACTCTGTGCTGAGGTGCATGCAATTGAGACTTGTATGAGGCAATATATAGACATTGGGGCAACAAACAAACATGTTAACGTACACTCTGACAGCAGGGTGGCGCTCTTCGCACTGAAAGTACACGAGGTCACCACAAAGATGGAATGACGCTGCTTTGGGATTTTTAAACTCATAGCCGAACTCCCGTTCGGAAAGGGGCTTCACATACGACCTTTCATCGGTCTAACGATGTCTGTTAGGCGGAGTGTTATATCCGCATGAAATAGAGAGAGTAGCATAACTGCGCAAGGAGGGAGGGTAATAGACAAGCAATGTAATAATAATAAAAAGATTTTCGTTTGATTATTTTGAGAAATCAAAAAGAAAATTTAAAATCCAAAAATACATTGCTCTGAGCTCCAAGACGCTTCTGGAAAAGCTTGCACTGTGACCAGTTTCACAGTATAGCTACATTAATATGAAAGCTCGGAACGGCCCGATTTTCTGTGTGAACGCACCCTAATGAATTGTATGAGAACTTTTTCATTGGCAGAAGCAGGGATCGAACCGAGATCATACGGAGTGATAGTATGCACTTCTGACAACTCTGCTAGAGCGCCGCCACGTTAACGAGTAAACTGAAGTGTGCGTCTTGATGCTATTACACAATTGGAGGGATCTACAGTTTTATACCGCCTTTATTGAGCATAGAACAATTATTGAGCTTGAGGCCATTTTTAATGAACAATCCTCTTTTTTATGTTGCTTTGACCAGTGATCGAAAGTTGGTCCTACGGAGTGGTAGTACGCATCTCTAGCCACTCGGCTGCAGCCGCCATACTGCATTATACTTATCTCAAAACGCAAGGTTTCTAACTAAAGTTTATTCCATCATAAACTTCTTCAAAACTGGCTGCACTATTATATCGGCACTAGATTTTCATGAACCGAAAAATTTAAGAAGACAGCTTCACTGCACGCTCATAAATAAACATAGATTTTTTCCTTTCAAATGTGGATATTCTCTAATTTATGCAATTTTAACACTGCTAAGGAAAAGTAGTTGCTACAAAGTTGCTGAGCGATTTCAATGTACCCCGGACTTTTCAACTTTTTATGTATGTACTCGTAAATATGTGTGTTAGTGTGTGTGTGGATATTATTTTGTGTGGGCGAAAGCAGCTGCAGGTAATTTAAATGCCATTCAAGTTGTAAGCTACCTATGCAGATGCTGACAGCGCCGCTTGCTAGAGCTTTCTTAGTTGAAAATTACGCATTCATTATTGTATTTTTCATGCAATTTTCACTTACCTACGCTGAGCAGAGAGAAAATGACAGCTGCAAGCAGCTGTTGCCACATTGGCGCGCGTACATTTGGCTGACGTGAGTGCATCCTGTCGCTCGCGCACTGGCCGGGTGCTATCAGCTATCACTAGTCTACGCGCACACAGCAATTAAAGTTGATGCGGCGATTTATTGTTGTTGTAACAATTGATGTAGCTGCAATTGGTGTTACTGTTCCTTTTGTTGTTGCTTTACATTATCACAGCAGCACCCGTAGTATGCGTGATATTTAAAAACTTTGTCCGTCACTCAAGCCCTCACACTCATTCACTTGCTCACTCGCTGTCACACAGCTGTCACTTGTGCAGTCAGTTTAACTGCACCTTCACACGGAAACTTTTTTATCTTCAGTACTCCTTCTGCTTTACACTGCTGCACTCACTCAGTCGCGATTGTTTTTTTGCTGGCTGCAGCTGAGGTTTTTCGGCTGACTTGCCGCCACTCGCCATATTCGCATTGCGGATTTGTGCTCTAAATTGTTGTCTATTCACATGGAAATCTCGTCACTTCCCTTCACTTCAATGCAATGCACTTAACTTTCAATTCCACTTCGTTCACTCACTGCGACTGCCACGACCAGCCCAGACTGCTATTGCAACAGAGCGTATGCGATGGCACTTGCCGCGGGAAGTTAGTGGGTTTACGAAGGGAATTATTACGATTGCCAGCCGTTCGTCGGAGTGTCATTCTGCTAGTGTCAGATTTGATATTTTTTACGCCAGCATAGCAGACACGAACAACTTGCCGCCGCTCGTAGTGGCGCAGCAGAAACAAATAGCCGTATTTGTGCGCCTACAACTTTTGTTTTATTGCTGCGCTACGTAAATATTTGTGTCACATCCTCTCACAAATGGCGACTTTTTATCCGCGCCGTGATACCCATAAATAATATGTAATAAAAATTTGAAAGTAAGCGCAAACAATAACAAAATAGTTGAATAAAATATTTTGTATATTCTTTTATTGAAGCGAATGGGCCGTAAGACCTGCTCTGATTTTCGGTTAAACAGCGTTGCGGGCTGCCTATTTTATGATTGTTTTATGAATTTTCAGTGGCACTTTATAGCGTGGAAAGTTTTTGTTTTCGAAAAGCCATTCTGAGTATGAGCACGACAGTTTATAAGCATTTGTCGTGCTGGCTACAGTTTTTCCCAGCCCTTATGAAACTTTCGTCAATACACACAGGCGCACACAACAAACTGACTTCAAGTGTTATTGCGAGCTAGTTAGACTGCCACTTTGCCACTTTTATTGCTTTCCTGTTTGTTAGCCCAAACGTTAGCATTTATTTACTTATTTCACTACTTCTGTCCCGCCCTTCGGTCCGGGCTCGTTTCACTTGAGCTGTTGTTGCTGGTTCAGTTGTTTTTTACTTTCATCTTTCATTGTTTTCACTACACACTTTGCCCTTTCCAGTTCATTTGCGTAGCTAATGTAGATTTTCTTGCTGCGATTATCGATAAATATTCCTGGCCCTTAAGGATTAGGCAATGCTCCATACTTTCTGCTTATTCGCTTCATCCTACAGCAACAACCTCTGGCTACCTTGGCTTACTTTGGTTATCTCGTCTTTAATTCCACTTTTCTTTTTGCTGCTTGGTTGCATATCGGTTCAACTGTGGTGTTTTATTTGTATTTGTACTGCCTTTTTTTTGCTTTCTATTCTACTCGCCCTTTTTTGCACTTACTTTTCCTCTAGTTTACCGTGTTAACATTCTCTAAGGAGCTGCGATTTATTGTTATGGTTCATTTGCTTATTTGCTCACCGAATTTATCTGCAAAGGCATGAGAGAAAAAAAGAAAAATTAAATAAATAAAAGGAGCGTTCTTTAGATGGAAAGGTAAAAATATGTAAATATTAAGTCTTTGTTTAGTAATAAATGGTTGTACTTTTGTTGGGCTAAGCAAACTAGGATTTTCTTGCCTATTTATTACCTAGCGGTCCTGGTGGGATTCCATGATTGATGAAGCCTTGGCAGTGCAGATCTATGTAAAACATAAATTTTTTGTGATTTATTATTAAAACTGTTCAGGTGGTTTGTACATATATTTGTTTTAAGGATCTAAAAATTTTTCTGGTTAAGTGGTTTCAAAAGCATAGAAATTTCACTCCACGGGGAGTTATTTTAAATACTGAAATATTTTTACATAAATTCACATAAAACATTTACATTTTTACCCTTATGCGCTAAGAGAATGACTAAGGAAGTAAAAAGGATTGTGAAACTTACCGAAACATTAAGCTTTGATAAATATTTGAAATATGGACCCAAAAAACCAGTTCATACACACATACATACGAGTACTAAGTGTGCAGTTTTGGGCAATGAAAGGAAAATAAGCAAATACCAGTCCAAAACTTCCCGCTAAAATCAACCAAGACCCACCAAAGTTTTATTTAAGTTTTTAATTAATTTTTAATGTCAAGTTCTTCATTTTACTGTACAGACTTACACAAATGTTTATCTCTTTACACATACATACATATGTATGTACATATGTATCATTATTATTATTATTATTACGTCGGGAATACACGCGCTGCGACCTAAGAAGATCTGTTGTGCTTAACCCTAATAGTAATCACTCCTACCTTATTCTCTTTAAGAAGTTAGGCACTTTGGAGAGCGTCATGTTAAAAATTTTGGATGAAGAAGACAATCGTTCCCGATTCTGTACCAGTCTGCTATTTATGATACGTGGGCAATGTATTTGGGCTCCAAACTTTGCGATACAATCAGCTTTCCTTGCCTTCAAACCCTTCATGTCCGAGAACTCACCACAGGGTTACGTTATTGTGAGCTTCCAAGTAGTTCAAAAAAGTTTCACAGCCTTCTACAAAGCAGTCTAAGGCCTTTAACCTGCCTGACTATCCGACACAATATTCAATTTTCTCTCTGACTTTCTGAAATTTCGGTCCGAATACGCCTGCCCCAGTACTCGTCCACCTTTTATTCATCGGTATACCATGCTTGGGACCTTTCGTCAATCATAGCAATTATCACTTCACAGCAGTCCCTTTCAGGAATTCTAACCTTGTAAAGTTTGTAGAAGGATAACTCAGGAATGGCTTTAGAACCTTCAAATTACCCCTTTCTCTGTCTCTGTCAGGTAGACAATGGTGGACCCCACCGGTGAAATATTCATGCAAACAAGGTTGCTAAAATGTTGAGAATACATATGTCATATTTTTCGCAAATAACTATTATTGTCGCGGAACCTACCAAAATCCAATCTTGCCTACCAACCTACCAAATAAAAAAAAAACTTCCAGTTTTGGTAGTAAAAGCCCATGTTGGGCAACACTGGTCGGAACCAAGGCCGCTAATTTTAAAGTGGAATAATAGATTGGCGCTTACACATATGTATGTATTTTAGTGTTTGGCCAAACTTCTCCTCCGATTTGTGGCGTACGACTTGATGTTGCCACACAAAGGGGAGGGACCTACAGTTTTACGCCGACTCCGAGCGGCGATTTTATTTTTACGAGAAGCTGTTTTACATGGCAGAAATACACTCCGACGTTTTCCATTGCCTGCCGAGGGGCAACCGCTATTAGAAAAAACCCTTTTATGTTTTTTTTTTATGCTAGGTTGAACCGAGCTTGAACACAGACCCTTCGGAGTGGTAGTGCGCATTGGTTACCATTACAACACAGCGGCCGCTGTAGAATACGTGATATGATTTAGAGCACCTTCAAGTTAAAAACTGAAGCGCGTATCGCAAATTTACTTCAATAGTGTCACAATCCAAACAAAAAAATATATATATATATATATATATATATATATATATTGAGCTAAGTATGCAGAAATTACCGCTATATCTTTTTTAATGTTGTGTAAAACTGTCATTGATTACCAGTATTTTACTATAACAAAATATGCATTCATTTTTACTATGTGAGTGTATTTAAATTCAAAATTTTAATCCGTTTTTCTCGAGTTACCGTTTTTTGAATTATGACACTATTGAAGTAAAGGAGCGATATGTAAACTAAATATTAATTTTGTTATAATTGAATTGAACTGAATACTATGGACATCTGTTACCGGGTTTCCATCTTCATTTTTGCAGGAGCTAGCCCCGGTCTCAAAACCATTTGATTGCTGCCGGCTGCCAATACGGCTATGTAGAGTGACGTTCACCTTCAGCTCCGTCCAAATTGGGAAGGACCTCTCCGCGCCTTTTGAGACCAAACGAGGTTTTAGACAAAGCGATTCACTCTCGTGCAACTTTTTCAATCTGGTGCAGGAAAGCGTAATAAGAGCTGCCAATCTGAATCGCAGCGGCACCATGTATAGCAAAAGAACGATGCTGCTGGCATATGCAGATGATGTCTATATCGTAGGTCTGAAACAAAGGGACGTATCCGCAGCATTTTCCAGTTTAGAAAAAGAAGCTAAAGAGGTTGGTCCAGCGGTGAACGAGGGAAAGACAAAGTACCTCCTGGCAACATATAAAGAGTCCACGCGAAGTGGATGGCGGATATCGGAGAAGATGGAATGACGAACTCTATGAGCTTTTTAACGACATGGACATAGTTAAGCGCATAAAAATACAGCGATTGTGTTGGCTTGGACATGTCGTACGCATGGTGAAAAGATCCTTCGACTCCACACCCATGGGTGGACAACGAAAGCAAGGGCGCCCACGAACGCAATGGAAGGACCAAGTGCAGAAGGACCTGTCTACGCTCGGGATAACCAGAGAACCTTTTTGGTCTCGGCCCAAACCGACAAACGGTTGTTGTGCCAAATAAGAAGAAGAAGAATTTAACTGAATAAATAAATACAAATATAAAATATTAATAATTAGCATTAGAAAAACAGACCCATATTAACCATCAGCTAACAAATATTTTCCATTATCAGTATCTGCTGTGAGTTAATATTTGACCAGCGCCATCTGTCATTAAATAGTAAAAAGGTGTGCGTGTGGACTACACTACTTCGATTCATTATACCAGGTCCCACTTGTACCCAGGGTAATCTAACTTTGTTCGCATAACACCTTTTGGGAATCGAGATAAATTTAGACATATGTATGTAGATCTATCAAAATGCTCAGAATGAACAGAGAAGTCGATTAAGTCTTGTCTCTCTGTCTGTCCGTCCGTCTGACTGACTGCCTGACCGCGTACTCGAATTCGGATAATAACCATCCAGCAAACACAGTCTCTGAAGAGCGTGTCAGACGTTGCAGTGCAATATATTTCCAAAAGGCTGTCAAATTGAGAAATTTCAGAAAGCAGTTGCAAGTCAAACTTTTCTTGCAAAGTGTTATTCGAAAGAGGTTTTTTTTATTTCCGAAAGGCGAATTGCAGCTTGCTAGTGCAGCACGAGAAAGTTGAAACATATTTCTGAAACCGATTTGCGCACTCTCAATTGCAGACACATCTTGCAACTTTTATTTCTGAAACAGATATCCGAAATGTGATAGAAAATTTCTCTTTCTCAATTTGACAGCGAATTGCATGGAAAAGTTAGAAATATTGCCACCTCTGACACGCTATTAATTTTAGAGTAATACTTTGATTTTACATTTGGATTCTAATGTAGTTCTCGAAACGAAAATCAGGTTATAGAACTTGTTTACTAGAATTCGATTTGAGGATGATTAGAAAAAACCAGACATAATAAACCAATTAGGATTGAACGCTATAAAACGATTAGATATCTAACCTCTTTCTCGATATTGAGAACTAAGTCCCCTTTGTGTAGAGAATGCTATAATTCTCGAAAGTTTCTCCAATCGTCTTCTAACCTTCTACGTTAGAGAAACACACTAGATTGGAGTCGTTTTCTAATCGTAACAGTAATTTACAAATTGAGGAAAACTTCGATATATCTATATATGTATATGTACATATTATAAAATGAGGTGCCCCAAAGCGTCTGTTGTCTGTCTGAACGCAGTAAACTCAAAAATTACGAATTGGATTTTATTAGGGTTTTCAGTAGTGAACGGTGTTATTCATGAGGAAGGTTTTCGCATATAATTTCTTATGGTTTAAAATACGATGGTAGACTTTTTTGCATTCGCATTTTTTTTCGAATTAATGCATAAATTTTTAATTCATGATTATAAACACTAAATCAAAACTAACTACCGTAATACTAGTTTTTGTATTAGTTGCTGTACTATCCATAAGCTGTTATATTTCCCGCTCTGATTTTTGAGTTAGTTCACTTTAGATCTAAGTGTGCGATATATGAAATCAATTGCACACTCATGGAAAAAGTGGAGATTATTGGAAAAGGGGTGTGGAACTTCTCATATTTACTGCATGCACACACACAGAGATATTCATGGTAGAATACTGGAGCTTGGTACAGATCTATATGAAATCACTCTCATACTCATACAGAATATTGGGGCAAACGCACTGAAACTATTACCCTACCAGAAGAGACTGGGTAAATGCTCCATATTTTACAACTAGTTTTTACTTGGTGTATTGGGCAAAGTTTCTATGAATTTCTTAACAGCAATGTGAAAATTGTATCGCATTCTACTGTACATTTTTATGTGCGTGTGAGTTTTTTTAATATCCTGAGGTTTGTGTACATTAGGGCGGATCGATTTTTTTCCATAAAATCGTACATACGGAAAATGCTCTACGTATCATTCTGAGCAACTTTGCTTACGAAAAACCATTGGGTCTAAAACCAATTTTGAGCTACCGAATTTTAAGGCGAAGTTTCATATCATGTAATACAAATTTTGATTTTTTTTATTTATATTAATTTCAGTCAAAGAAAACAATAG